CACCTCACAGTGGCTATCCCTATGTTCATAAACAGGAAATCAGTCTCTCACTCACACACACACACACACACACACACACAGTGCAGTTCTGTGCTGTGATGACATCTGCAGCCACAGACAGTGCCCACACATATATGAAAAGACAGTAGGTGCTATTTACTGCCCCCTGTGACCCGTGTGGGTTCACAATGGTTGTGCAGCAACACGACCTACACAATTGAACAGCCCTTAAAAGAATGAATCTAAAATATGAAGAAATTTCATTTTAACTCACTTTGGCTCCACCTTTGACAGACAACATGACTATGGCTACATTTAATTTACATCTTTGACAAATTTAACCCATGCTCAGCAGATTTGGTTGATGGGTTTTGGTTGATTGACACATTCCATTCTGCACAGATTAAAAGACATTCTCCGTCTTTATCAGAACTTAAGACTTAAGTCTAAGCCCAACACTGACAGGAGGTTCTATCCTGCGTCTGCCACAGCTGATTCAAACCGTCATTGCAACAAAAGATAGTTTAAATATTAATAAATATGTAAGCAAATAAATATGTATGCATTTTTACTATATAATTATATATATATTATATTATATATTATAAATAATTCTGTAATATTCAAGGTCACACATTTGGTGATTTGTGTGTGGCGTTTATTTTTCTTGGAACCTTTTGACTTACATTTAATTTAAACTAATTTAATCTTCTCTCATCACCTACAACATTGAATAATTTGCATAGAAGTGATGTTTAAAATAAAATACCATACCAACATGGTGGACAACACCAGGGTTGTGTGCCATATTTTTATGTCATAAAATCAGTTCAGTTAGACCAGGCCGTTAAATATCAGGATAACAAGTGCAATGTTGGATAAAGGTTTTTTTTCTTTTTTTTACTATATCTGTCGGAAACGTTTTCTACTTGAAGGTTTTAATGTTGGAAGTAATTGCATCAGTCGGTAACCGAGCAGTATATATCAGACTAAAAGAACAAAGCAGCAGCAGGAAGCATGGACTGATAATTAGCACGTTCACATATATTTTTTTAAATCCTTTAAATTATTTTATTTCTCTCTTTATCTGCCTCTGAGCATGTAGAAAGCTGAGTTAGCTACACTAACAGAGTCAGTCCGCTGTTATCACCACAAACGTTACCATCACTGCAGAACACATCAGAAAAAAATACAACAACCATGTGATTTTATATTTCTGCACAGCTGCAATAACTGTGAACAATTTGATCAGCGCACGGAGGGAAAGTGAAATTTGTAAAGGACAACAGCTAATGTGACATCTGGATTGTTACCACCTGCCCTCAGACGGTGTATCACTGAGGGGTAACTGCTGTATTTGGATGTCAAATCTAACAAGCAATGGCTCCGATTCATGTATTTTGTAATTACAGCCCTGTTACCAACTGCTGCACCTTGATGTTAAATGACTCCTGACATGATCCACCCAGTAACACACATCCATGGATATATACACACACACACACACACACACATGCCTGTGACAGCTCCATTTAACACTGATTAGATTTGCAAGGACGTGTCGTGTACCCTCTCCTGTGTCTCCTGTGCCTGCTCGCTCTCTGTCTCGGTGTTTCCTGAGCAGGATGAGTATCTCCTGAATCCAGTCTACGGTGATAATAATATGCAAATGGTTTAATATGAAGATAAAAGACTGTTGCAGCACGTGGCGCTCTCCTGGTTCACAGCCTCACATTTCCAGGACGAAAGCTCTAACGAGGAGGGCACTATTTGGGAGTCATTAAATGATGGCCTTCCTGACATGCACCCGCTCAGCACCGCCACCCGCCCTGCATTGGCCATTAAAAGCGCTTCACACCCACACCAAGACACACACACATACACACACACACTCTACAGATGCCTTTTAGTGCCAGCTCCCAGTTTCTAACACATCACAGTGTCACAGAATAGAAAATTACACTCTCCTCCCACGGAGAAAATTGCTTTGGAATTGCTTGGTTATAAAGATGTGCTTTAAAGAGTGGGGGTGCATGCAATATAAAAAAAGGACACACACAAACACAATTACTTAAAGCACTCTAAGGACAATTCCTAGAAGTTAATCAGAGGATTTACCAATTATTGATGTCAAAGGAACCGTGTTGCACATCCTCGGCAACTCATGTTTATGTGCTGCATGTGTTTGTCTCTGCATTCAGGCTATTTAATATGCAATTATCTCCATTGTTGTGCTAAATAATGGCAACACTGTGCTGCACAACGGCAGTCTACGCGCAAATGCTTGGCTTATTTCATGCACAGCACCTGATGACTTACGGGGAAGAAAAAAAACTAAGCCTGAGCAGGATGTGGGCGTAGCACATTACAGATGTAGATTCTTCCAGAGCCAAGGTTGGCACTGAACATTAGCGACGTTATAGTCTGAAAACACCTGCCAATTATTATTGAGGAAAACAAGACGTGGAAAATAGCCTCAGAATGTCAAGCTGTGGACTGGAAGAGGAAGGATTTGATTTGATTCAGGATGGCAGAGACACTGGAAGAGGATTGAACGCAGGAAGCTGAAAGGTGTACCATCATCAAGAGACAAGGGGGGCGTCGCAGAAATGAAAGTGGGAACATACAAAGTGGAAAATAGCAGAGAAGAGAGAGTGCAGCAAAGGAAGAAGACAAGTCAGGTGTGGACAGAAGGGGGTTTTGTGGACGGGAAATATTAAGAATGTAGCAGGGAGAAGAAGAAAAAAAAACGTTCCACTCCATGGCCAGGAAAGAGGAAGAATGTGGTTTCTTCATATCAGCTGGTTTTTACAGTTACAGTTAAGGAACAAAGTAAACAAACCTCAATCGTATAACAGCGTTTTGTATTACAGCTCTTATATTACACTGTTTGCCAACAACTCAGCAAAGCATGAATGTAAATCATCACCACTGGACCTGAGCTCATGATGTACTGTTTATGTATTTGGACTAATTTACGATTCCACAAGTATTTGCAAGTTCCAGATATGCAAATTTAGATTGCGTTAATCGCCGATTGCAATCAACTGTGACATAACGCAATTACATTTTCTGGCAAATGAGCTTGAAAAAAAATACATTTCCATTGATACTCCTTTCTTCTGACCTTATGTCCTACAATTCTTAAGTATCTGCATATTTTAAGTAGTATTCATCTGTTCTGCAGAAACTGCAGTACAACATAGAGGCCACACATATTTGCCACCCTGCAAACCTGGGAGTTTAAACATCAAGTGCCTACGAGTGCTGTGTGTAGGATTTAGCAGCCCCTACAGGTAAAGTTAGATACTGCTGTTGCCATCAACATATCAAAGGGGTTCTTCCAACTGTCTAGAGTACATGTCCATATGTCCTTCTGGAAGACAGTTGACAATAAAGTGAAGTAATCTGAGTGGTCATGAAGTACAGACAATTTACTATCTACAAATATTGACATTTGGTACTGATTGACTCAAAGTAAATTTGTGTGGTGTGGTTTTCTGAAATCCACTCCTGTCATAATACATGAAAGTC